TCGTAGTACGCCATTCACTGAGAGGGAGTCGGTGAAGGTATTGATGGCTCCACTGTGAATGGCGGTCAGTGCCTGTCTGAATTTAATTGCGTCCGAAGTCCGGTCGGCGTACTGTCTAATATCGTTGACGTAATCAAGAAAAGACCTCTTGACGTTCCTAGGAGGCGGCTCCACTTCAAGCAGACAGCAGCAGGGGTGGTTTCTACGAAAGCAATCCAGCAGAAACTGCATGGAGAGGAGCTCGTTATGTTCCTTAACCGGAAGCATACGGGCCTCAGTGTGGAGATGTTCGATTGGGGACATCAAGAGACATCCCGTGATAGTCCGGAGTGCAGTGTTCTGACAGGTTTGGAGTTTCTTCGTCTGCGTAGCACTACATCCAGGCGACCTAATTGGGGCTGCATAGTTTAGGACCGGCCGGCCGATTGCCTTGTATGTCGCAAGCAACGTTTCTTTGTATTTTCCCCAAAAGCTGCCGGCAAGCTATTTGAGGATTTTGTTGCGGCTCTGTACTTTGGCAGTTATCGCGGTCGTGTGAGGAGTGAAGGAGCAAAGACTGTCTTATGTAACGCCTAAAATTTTAGGGTTGTTTACGTTCGGAATTTTGGTACCATCGACTAAAATGTCGAGCAGGTCTTAAGATGGCTCCATCCATTGCATGTATTGCACCTAACCGAGGTGGAGTTTGGATGGAGCCTTCTAGCGCAAACGCAGCAGTAAAATTCTTCGGGGCCCGGGTTGGACTCGATGCCAGAACGGGTCAGGAGGATACGGAGCAACCCTGCAGCTAGGCGTTGCTCCTTAACCTAGAACTTACCGATACAAACAGGGTTAGATCGCCGAAATAACAGCCCTTCGCCGGATAAAATCCGGGTCAATTCCGGTAACGTAGAACCATACATATAATATTTGCAAGTCTATATATATACATAGGGGCTGGATGATGTCCTTGCATAAGTCTATTAAAAACTGCGCATTCGAAAATTTTTATTTTCAAGCATAAAAATGTGAAATATATCTGATTAATACTCTCACTGACGAGTTAGATAGCAAAACGGATGGATTTCTATTAGCTAAGTACCAAAAGAGAAAGAATCGTGTAAAAAAGAAGAAATTTATTAATTGTGAATATCTTTAAAGTCCAAGGTATTATTCCAAAAGGGATAGCTTTAGCGCACTTGATGTATTCTTTCTACTAAATCCTATAAAATAAAATAAAATCCACAAATTTAACAAAGCAACAATATTAAAACTATATTTATCATAAGTCACTTACAATGACATTTTAGCTAGCACAGTTGGTTATGGTGTAATTTTTTGTGTAACTACTTCTTAAATGCTGCAAGTTTTGCGTGTTTTTGCGCAACAGCTACTACAGTTTTGCTTTTTCGAACTTTCAACTTTGGCAAAGATGCTAGGTTTGCTTTTTCGAACTGGTTGTATTATGAATACTGCGCAGTTTGCCGTGCCCAAAACGCTCTAGTTTTGGTACCGTCAAAGGGTAGCCGCTCAGTTCACTCCGGTATCCCAGTTTGTTTTTAAATGCGTTTTTCTCCAAACAACATTTTCCGGACCTTTTTTCGCGCCGCTCAAAAAATATTTAATTTCAAAAATTTCACTGTGTGTTCTTGGAATATGTATAAATATACCTTGAAATTTTCGATACCTTGAAAAATCGGTAGAGTAGTTTTTTTTTTTTAATTTCCAAAAATCGACGTTTTTTTAAGCTGTCTTATGGGGGTTAGTATTGGCCCAGTTTTACCTATTTTCTGGGATCCACATATGATTAAGCATTTGAAAGTTTTCACGACCATATCGATATCGGTCAATATAGATATCTTAGCTAAATCGGGTGTCCATATAATACTGAATTTAATATAGTTTAATGCCAAAAATATGTGTAATAACATAAAATTCGGTGAGAAAATGTCCTAACCCGAAAATACCCGATATAGTGATTTCCGCCTTTTTACCTGAAGTTTAACCGTTTATCTTGGTCAACTATAAGATATTTTAATGAAATTGTTCTAGACATTGACCTAACCCTCATATAATAACATTTATAAAATTTCCAATCATCTCGTTAACTTTTTTCAGATTATGTTTATAAGAATATTTTGAAGTTATATAAAGTAGAGAAAGTACAAAAAAAAGTAGATTTTCTTTTTCTGCATAATTGGTTGTTCGATTTCACATTGAAATTTTATATATTTTCTATTTTGTTTTCAACCTTAGACACATTTTGTTTCAATGTTCAGACAAGTTTTCCAAATTAAAATAAGTTTTATCGACATTTTTAGTCGTGTTTTTTTAACAACACAAAAATCTCTAAGTGCTTACACATAGATTAAAGGAAACCAAAAATACTCATCTTTTATACTATCAGTTGTTTTCGCAAAGGGCAGTCATTTAAATGGCATTCGAACGGATACATATATGTATGTACGCAATAGCGTTGGTTTTAATGAGACGAATCGAGCAAGACTTAATATAAGTGGATAACTTAGCTTGTATTTATAAATTTAGAATTCACTTATTTACAAAAAAAGTGGGATTGGCCGATACATTGCTTCCAATACTAGTATTGCCGGTATTTTGCTGACTTCTCGTCGATGTTGCATACAATTGCTGCTGAAAACTATGGTACTGCTGCGCATACTTAAGATCATTCGAAGCTGGACCAACAAATGGTTTATAGCCAACGTTACTTACGTCAGCTGGGCCATTTCCCCCAACGGGAGGCGCACTGTTGCCCACTTGAATTGCATTCGAGAGCATGTTACTGTTATTACTCATCATAATTGGTCCATTTACTGGAGATTGCATGGACGAATTATGTTCATTCGGGAGTAAATTTGCGTTTGTAGAGATTTGTCCGGCGTTGACCCTTGTACCGGTCCATTACCATTAGCATTATTTCCGATGAACATAGAATTGTCTCCGCATTCCATAGGATCCTGTGGACCATTTGGAAAATGTCCAGGCATTACGGAAACACCTGGTGCTTGCATGCGGGGAGCAGGTACCATTTGACTTCCTGAATGCCCCATATGTTGTCTGATGGGTCGCATGCTACGTATCATTGAAGAATGAGGGCCCATGTTAATTTCATGGACGGACATAATATTTCCCCCAGAAATGTCTTCCTGGTCCATTGAACTCATCTGATTGCAATTGCCAAAAAAGTTCATACTCGTGTTTCCCGCACCTGTAGTCATTGACTGCATTCTTCGACACCTTGTTCGTTGATGCACCGCATTTTGACTAATAATGACTGTGTCGATGTCTTACCTGCTTTGACAAATTTGTGGATTTGTGTATCGCAAGAATTCCAGACTCGGTGGAACACGTATATTACTATTATTATTGTTTTGAGCGCGTATTGGCATATATTGTATGGTATTCGGTGTACTGGCCTTAACTTGTATATTGGCAGAAACATTAAGATTACTAAAATTCATCTGGGCATGCGACTCATCATTCGATGATTGGGCATTACTCCATGCAACCCACTTGGTCCGTCCGTGTTCACCGTTAGCTGGTTAAACTTCACCTATTTTGGATTAAACAGCGCTATATCCCGCGAGGCAACATAAATTAATATGACAGTTGTGGTGTAGAATGGTCCGTGCACTCGCGGTGGCATTGCAACCTGATAAGGCCAGCATTACCGGTGGTCTAATCCCGAATCCATTGATGCCATCATTGATTCTAAATTTTGGTTAACATTATTCGGAACGTTTACATCATGCACTGCAGCAACCTTCTCTTCCTCACTTCTTCCGCATTCAAAGTGGCCACGCAACTTGTGAGCTGTTGTGACGACGACTAATGACGATATTGCGGATCAAAAATGATTTATTTGCTGTGGTGAATGATTTTCTTGGGATTTGATGGAAGTTGTCAATACGACGACAACCAGAACTGCTGAAACGACTTTAATTTGACGCACAAAATATAAGGTTATATATTAATGATGTAGGCGCGATTCAATTAGTTCTCTGCTAATTTGGCCCGGTCCTTTATAGCTGTTGACTCCACTATGAAGTTTGATGCGTTGAATATGTTGCAGGAAAATTAAGCCGGAGGCTGGCTGAAGGAAACGACCTTCGACTCTTTCGCCATCAGCAATATTACTATGTTGGTCCATCAAGGTTAATGACCTTTGTGGACGGGCGCATTTTAAATCACCTGTCAACGTATAAAATATTAGCTATATGTATTTTTAAGACGTTATATCACCTGCTGTGGTATTTGTATAAAACGAATCAGATCTGGGCGATAAGTGCGATAACAGTACCTGGTTATGGGTGGCTCATTTGGTGTGCGTTCTATTCAATTTGTTGCTGTACTGTTATTAGTGCCACCAGCATGGCGAACATCAGATGGGAAATTATTCTTACTTTGACCATTTGCATTTGATGCCAACACATTGTTGATATTTGTTTTGCCACGTTGCCTGGCGTTGTTGGCATATTGAGCGCAGCCACGTCATATTTGATACCGTTGCATTATTCATGCCTGATATGAGGTGACGGTTTTAACCATTTGACGTCGGGTTATTAGGACTAGATGGATTTGGAGACTGTGTTGCTATGGGTACTGACGCCGAACGCTGTGTAGGATGATAGGGTGGTGGACTGTGTTGAACGATGCTGACAGCTGCCCTTGGTGCAGTTTGTGCCTGTTCACCATATATTAGGTCTATACTTCCAGAATTTGAACAATATAAATGTTGTTGGCGCCATCCATCGTTTGGTCCCTGACTCTTGTTACCTTTTATACGTTCCTCAAAAAATTGGTGTTGTAATTTGGACCTCCATGTACCGCACTACAAGGCCATCACAGACCTTAAACCGGCCCAATTATTTTGTGGGGTACTGTTAAGTGCCTTCTCAATAAAGTAATTCATATTTCAGGTAATTCAGCGGCATAAGTCACAAGCCCAGTGATGTTCTCTTACGCCACAATTTCCCGTATTATTTCCTCCGGTGTGACAAGGTAATGAACTTCTGGGCATATTACTAACACTAGGAGGTTGATACCTGACCGATCCATTGCATATTCGATTGATTGACTGTATTGGTTATTTATTGATATTTATCTCATGAGTATAAACATATCGTTGAACAATGTTTCATCACCAATACTGCTAATATTTTCAGGATTACGCTATTGGTGTTGCGTTCATTGTGTTGATGGCATCACAGACGTTGAGGTGAGTTAGTTGAATGTTGTGGTCAATACCAGCTGACACCATTAGATGATGTGTGGAGCCGGCAATTACCTGGTACACCATCTGAAACTCAATTGCCAGCTGACACTCATGAAAGTTAGACAAAAATTGATCTGTTATTGCTTTAGTTTGGCTAATTGTTCTTCGCGATGCTGACGTTGTTGCGGTGTTAAATTTTCATCGGGCACTTTAATACCTTGTAGTGAAGGTGTACTATTATCGTTATTCACACTCGCTGCTTCGGGGGCAGTAAGGGATTTATTAACAGCGTGAGAACCGCCTTCTATGACTCCATCGACGCCATTTGTCATTTTTAAACCTGTATGGCCGTCGTTAGATGTTCCTTCCATATTATTTCTCCCCTGTTCCCAACACATTAATTCGTTTTCATTACTATTTAAGTTTTCCGAGACATCATTAAAATTAGGAATATTGGATTGTCGAAGAGAGAGTTTGCTTTCTAAATTACCGGTCATAGCCGAAAAATTCATTTTATTGCCATTGGGTTTTTGAGACATTTTTGGTAGTGGATTGCAACCTCCAACCCATTGTTGACCGGAACCTACTGATATGTTGCATAAATTAAGAGTATTTTGACGCTGCAATTTAGATATTTTCATAGGATTTTTTATAAAGAAGTCTTCCAGAAAATCCTTTGTTGCTGGTTGTGTGCAATGGTATGCTATTATTGTTGGAAACTGTCCACTCAAAACTGATTCAGCACCCTTATTTGCCAGCTGGGTTGAAAATACAAAAATATGATTTTGTTGCTGCATATACTCCATACAATTTGAAATTGCTCCACTAGTAATATTGTTACTATTTATTACATTTCCTGTCGAATGATGTGATCCGCCAACGCAAGAGTCGCTCGAAGTGTTAACAAGGGAGGGAGTAGTACCAGATACAGAAAGTGAATCTTCTGCACATCCGCTAGATCCATTATTGGTAGAACCCAATACAGAAACTATTTTTTCGTGGTTGTTATTGGAATTCGTGCTGTTATTATTACAATTAGTAATAGTCTTTGTGTTGGATACATCTTCCTGTTTCACTAAAGATGTCAAGAAAGCACAAAGGATGAATTTAGACAGAAAATTAAAATATATATGCAAAACAATGTGATAATTTTTCATGGAAGTATATTACCTGGTGTGCAGGATCTGACCTCCACTGAGTTACTGCTAGACAAGTTGGGAATCGAACCAAAACCAGCCGGCGATATGTCTGGTGAAACATTTCCCTCTTCTTTCTTTAGGTTCATTAAATTATTCAAACCGCCGGTTTCTTCTTTTGCAGAAGACAATGAGCTTATTGCCGTCGTTGTGCACAGAACATTTTTCGTTGAAGATCCCGTGAGACCATTATTTTCCAATGACTTAACACCTAAAATTTTAAATATTACAAAATTAGAAACGATTTGCTTTCGCAGAATAATTACGCACCAGTGTCTTCTTCTTTCACAGTTGCTATATTAATCATGTTTGATTTCTTTTTATTATCACATTTGTCTGGTTTGTTAAGATCTTGAAGAATATCTGCACTACTTTCTATTGCTTGTGACAAATTGGATGAAATGTTACTACAACTATTCGAATGATCACTACCATTGTTTGGCGAGGAGACATTCACAGTGTTAGGACACGATTTTATGTTACTATTGGAATTTTGACGCATAATTGATGTGGATGCGGTAGTGGATGTCGTAGGGCAATCTCTCTCTCGCTTAACAACAGTATCCAATACAACAGTACTAGACCCATTTAAGGTGTTGTTGTTAGGCGTTTCGTCTAACATATTCTGGCTATTAACGCTTTCTGCAAATAGTAAAAAAGAAAATATACACTGTAAAACTTTTAAGGAAAACAACTAAATATCTTTCGAGTAACACGCGATTTACGATGACGCTAACCAAAGATCTCCCACTGCTGCAGAAATTTCGAAGTGCTCCGTGGATGTACCTACGATCGAAAAAAAAATTTGGCCTGCCAAAATTCGTTTGACAAAGATGGGATTATTTGTCTGCGAGTTAACACTTCAGCAAATTCCAGAAATACTGTTTATAGAAAAACGCGCTTAAACGTATAGACTATCGATAAATGCAAGAATAAAAAATTGGATTTTTTTGAAATTTCATACTAAATGGAGCCCTGAATATCATATTTTGGATCTAATTAACTTATATTATAAATTAAGTTTCTTTTCTCACAACATGCTGCCCACACATTTTCACATTTTTTACACTTACATTGTAAATAAATTTAAAATATTATAATGCAATGTAAATAATTAATAAAATAAATTATATAATACAACTCTGATTATCAGCAAAATAGCTGATTTCTATCATATTTATTGTTGTTCGTCGCATTCTAAAACAAAAATGAGTTCTGCCGGTGCTCGAGCAAGAAATATTTAGAAGGATTTGCACTTCCAAGTTCAGAAATATGGCAAAAGCTATGCGGCCCTTTGTCTTTGTTTGAGCGCTTGAAATTTATGGTCCGATTGTATAAGTTTTTTTTTTTTTTTTTTAGTTGGATGCATATCTCTATAATATTTCCAGTTAATTGGAACAGAAGCCCTGCATCTAATGGGCGTTAAGGTGGCAATACCGCGTCCGTTGTCAAACGGAGTAGCGAGACTCGGAGCCACTATCCGGTCAACGCAACCTAGTCCGTTAGGCCAGATAGCGAAAGGGCAGCGCCTCCACCCACCCAAACCGCAAAAGACAGTCAAATATCGCCAGAGGAGCCAAACTAAACTACAAAAGGAAAAGTAGTGAAGACACTTGAGGCCTTGTTACTCCCGTCATTCACCCACCACCTGAGCCTAGCAGACCATCAGCATGGCTTCCGTAAAGTGCACAGTACCACCACAGCACAGGCTATAACGCCCAGATAGTTAATGGCCTGAACCAGAAGCCACCCTGCGAGAGGACGATCCTCGTAGCGTTGGACTTGTCAAAGCTTGACACAGTCAATCACGCAACGCTACTTGAGGACCTGGAACAATCAACGCTCCCTCAGGCTGAAGCGGTGGACCATGAACTACCTGAGCGGTCGAAACTCATCCGTACTATTTCGAGGTCAAAACTCAAACTCAGGAAAATTAAACAGGGGTTCTGCGGGCGGTGTCCTCTCCCGTTTAATTTCTACATTTCAAAACTCCCCTAGCCAGCGGGATTTTCAATGACCTCGTACGCAGATGACATGATGATTGACGTCGGGCAATGGAATCGATGGCATGTGTTCAGAACGGCTACCTCTCCGATCTTTTCGCTTTTCTGCAAGGAACCAACACTTCCCTCACTAAATCCACAGCAACCATCTTCACCAATTGGACGAAGAGGCAGACTGGACCTGAACATTTCAGTCGATGGCACACAATTCCGACAGTAAATAACCTAAATTTTGGCGTCACTTTGGACAGTCTGTCTTTCATCCTCATACGACCGCGATAACTGCCAAAGTACAGAGCCGCAACAAAATCCTCAGTCGCTTGCCGGCAGCTCATGGGAAAAGACAAAGAAACGTTGTTGGCAACATACAAGGCAATCGGCCGGCCGGTCCTCAATGCAGCCGCATAATGGTCGCCTGGATGCAGTGACGCAGAATAAGAAGCTTCAGACTTGTCAGAACACTGCACTCCGGACTATCACGGTGCCTCTTGATGTCCCAATCGAACACCACATAGCGAGGCAAGCCTGTTCGGGAAGCATAACGAGCTCCTCTCCAAGCAGTTTCTGCTGGGATGTTTTCGCAGAAACCACCCTGCAGACGCCGCTTGCAGCGGAGCAGCCTCCTAGGAACATCAAGAGGTCCTTCCTGACTACGTCGACGACATCAGACAGCACGCCGACCAGATCGGACGCACAACTTCAAGGCACTGACCGCCATTCACAGTGGAGCCATTAACACCTTCACCGATCCCTCTCAGTGAATGGCGTACGAGTCAAACCACCACCCATTGCAGACACAGAGCTGAGTTGCCTCGCGAATCTAGAGCAGACCTCGCGCAACTTCGTTCTGGATACTGCAGAGGTTAAACTCCCACCATCCAGAATAGACCCTGACATACCAAACACATGTCCTGCATGCAATGAGTCTCCGCATGACACTAAGCACCTCTTTGCATGCCCAACAAACCCCACTCATCTAACACCCCTCTCCCTATGGTCCGACCCCGTCGAAACAGCTCGTTTCCTGGGCCTTCCGTTAGATGACCTCGACGACAACGAATCTAGAATTTATCACCCAAACGGGGATTAGATAATCGTTATAACAACAACAACAACAAAAGGAAAAATGGCGATTACGCACAGGTGGCAGGAGGCCCACACTCCGCCCCGAATGGAGGAGTGACAGCGCATATATGCGGATGCTTTAAAAGACATACGGATGACTCTGTTGCCTCTCAACTGCCCGGCAGATACTATGGGGTCGGAGGAGCTTACCGCTCTTCAGGATCTCCTCATAGAAGGGGTGTACAGGGGTTACAAGTTAACTGCAAGGACGAGAGGTCCGCAAACTGGTAAATGTAGATCGCTAGGAAAGGACATTCCGCCCATGCACAGCAGTACGGTGTTCCTTCCTAGATGCTCAGGCAAGCCATACGAGTCTGCTCTCGGGCTCGTCAGAAGAAGTGCACCTTGTCCCGGGGACTCCGGCTGCAGGCCGAGCCTCTGTGTGGACAATGAATCCTACAACCTCATCCGGAAAAAAAGTTTTCGCCTGAACTATAGTTCCAGTTCGGTAGTCATGTGGCCTATGAGCCCAAGACAACTGCTGATAGCGGAACTGGGCAAAAAAACGCTGGTTGATGAGGAAGCTACTCATTCCGGTGCCAGTACGGCCTAGCAGACTTAGAGCTCGAGTTGCCTCGCGAAACCAGAGTGACCCTCGCGCAACTTCGTTCTGGATATTGTAGCATGTTAAACTCCTACTTATCCAGAATAGACCCCGACATACCAAGCACATGTCCTGCGTGCAATGAGTCTCCGCATAACACTAACCACCTCTTTGCATGCCCAACAAACCCCACTCAGGTAAAACCCTTCCCCCTATGGTCCGACCCCGTCGAAACAGCTTGTTTCGTGGGCCTCCCGTTAGAATACCTCGACGACAACGAATCTGGAATTTATCACCCAAACGGGGATTAGGTAATCGTTACAACAGGAGGGGCAGCAAGACGGAAGTGCTACGGTTTCAAGACTGGAAAGCAGATTGTCTATGCTTACCCAGTCCATCACAGACGTATATCACTGTAGCTGCCCCTAAAGACGATCTCCAATAGGTGCAAATGTCCTTGGTGGTCAAGTAGACTCTCAGATCTTAGGTAGGGTACGAAAGCTCTTTAACAAGGCTAAACGTACGTGAACTGGGAGGAATATAAGTGCAACCTAACTATTTCTAATAAAGAGATTAAGTCTGCAAATAGCAAAGTTTTAGTAACTCCTGTGAAAACGTCTCCTCAACACCGGAGGCTGCACAGAGCCAAGACTGACACATATAAAGCTACGGCACTTCTGGTTGAGCATTTCCCAGAGGCGAATTCAAGCCATCTTCGCGAAATTTAAGCGGATGGCATCTTTCCAGGACTTCTGCAACAGAGGTTATAAACTTATCGCACTGCTAACCAGCAATGGGATCCGCTGTCAAGAATATACGGATGACACTGTTATAATAGATAGGTGCAAATTCGAGGACATTCTGTGATATCGCACCCCTCGAAAACGACGACCGCCCATTCACTACACGGAGGTCCCTGCCCGGCCTCAGGAACTTATCCCTCGGTGACAGAGAGATAAAGATGACTAATGTGTTAAAATATCTGAGCCTCACTCTGAATTCCGGTAGCAGTAAGTGGATCTGACCACAGTCAAAGCTACAAAAACACTCGATGTGTGCAATGGACTTGACTTCAACTATCGAAGCTGCAACGACTTGCCTGCATCTACGCGTCGGGTGCAATTCGTACGTGCCCAACAGCAGCTAAACATGCAATGCTTCAAATAACAGCAGAAGGGTTTGGCAGAGAGAAGGTAGTCTCGTCCCAAATTCGAAACGTCGGAGGGGGTTCAGGAGTTGCAGGACCACATACCAAACTCTGCATACCCATGGGAAGTTTTCCGAGTTTCTTCCAAGCAGAAGTCTTTGCTATAAATCGATGTGTAGAGATAAACCTCCAACACCATACTCAGCGATAGTCAAGCGGCACTTACAGAGATCTCTAAAGAGATTAGCTACTGGTGAAGGAGTGTATGGAACGGCTGAACAGCCTATCAATTCGTAACCAAGTACACCTTATCTGGGTGCCTGATCATAAGGGTATTGCCGGGAATGAACAGGCTGACGAGCTTGTCCGCTCTGAAGCTTCTACCAGAATGGTAGGACTGGAACAAGGAAAGAGTAGGCAGAGAGAAGCATTGGCAACAACTCCATATGCCATGACAAGTTTCTAAAGGGTGGTTACAATCTTAGCATGTTTAAAAATGTAATCAATCTCCCAAGAAATAAATTCCGGCTACTTGTCACATTCTACACTGGTCATTGTAAGCTCAAGAAGCACTTATGCAACATGGGCTAGGCCTCTTGCGCAAACTGCCGATTTTGCGACATGGAGCCGGACTCCAGAACACCTGCTGATAGATTGCACAGCAGCCTGCAGACGCAGGAGCATGGCCCTTAGATCCATGTTTCCAAATAGGGATCACATTGCCTGAATAGCACCTAGCAGTATATTGGAGTTCATCAATGTGCTTAGGCTAAGTGAGTCGTTGTGACTTAGGGGAGGACACAATAGATCTTAGGTCGCGGTGCATACCTCATTTCTTATCTATCTATTACCAAGTTACGAGGTGCACCGCAGCTCTACTTTTTTCCAAGTCAAGTCCGAATAATTGCTGCCATTGCGGTAAATTTTAATATTTGCTCGTGAAAAAATGTACACAACATTCTTCGAATGTCGTACTTATGCACCATAGGTTTTAATTAAGATACTTTACATGTGTCGACACAAAAAGATTAACCATAAATGTCGTTCGAGAAAAGTATACCAAATTGTAATTTTCGAGTGAATATCGTCCCCCTATCGTTGGCAATTAAATCGTCGTGTCACCATTTTGTGTATATTATCGAATACTATCAACCGTAGGTTAGTAAGTAGAAATTTCAAATCAAAATCAAGAAACTGTTGAAGTGCAAGCCTAAATTATTGTGGACTTGTAATCCATTGAATAGGCAAGGCAAAGTTGTCAAAATCCATCGATATTAACAGCCTCTATGAGACTAAATAATTTCACTAATTCAATTCACAGCCGGTTGGCTCTACGGTATCGGAATTGGCAGAAGAAAACGTCGGAGACTCTATAATGTATATATATAAATGACCAGCATGACGACCTGGGTCGATTTAGCCCGTTCCCATAATAGTCGGATCTACGTAACCGGAACGGATCCGGATTTTTTTTGGCCACGGACTGTCAACTCGGCAGAAAACTGCCGCTACAACAACAAAATTTAGCCATGTCGGTCTGTCTGTATATATGCGAACACTAGTTGCTCAGTTTAAAAGATATCGATCTAAAAGTTTGCCCACGCTCCTTTTTCCATAAGAAGCTGCTCATTTGTTGGAATTGTCGATATCGGACCACTACAGCACACAGCTGCCATATAAACTGAACGATCAAAATCATGTTATTATATGGAAAAATTTTTTACTGTCGAGATATCTTCACCAAATTTAGCTTGGATTATTATCCAAGACAACGCTACAATCCTCGAATTTGTTTTTGAGATCGGACTACTATAACATAAATCTGCCAAACAGACTGAAAGATCTAAATCAAGTTTTTGTATGGAAATGAAATCTTTACGAAATTTAGCACGGATTATTCCCCAAGGCAACGGTACAATTTTCGAAGAAATTATACAGATCGAACCACTAGAGCATATAACTGCTATACAAACTGACTTATTGTTTATAGAATCTTTTGTATTTGTGAAGGATATTATAGTTTCGGTGTAACCGAAGTTAACGTTTTTTCTTGTTTCAGGTAAAAAAAAAAAAAACGATAACTGTAAAGATGTATTTTATTTATTTTTTGATTCTAGTTGGAGAACCACTCAGCAAATAACGCAAACTCAGGTCGGAAAATAAGTGTGGGAATCTAATGCTCTTACGCATATATTTAAATAAGAAATATCCCTTGAGGTCGAAACACAGTGTGAACTGGTTGATCGATAAAATAATCTGAAAATACAATTCATTAAATTGCTACAAAAAGAAAAGGATGTATAAAGTGCAAACACTTGAATAATCAACATAATGAATTTTATTTGAAAATAAAACTTACCACTAAGCGGTGATAGTGTTGAAAAGGGTTCACATTTAATATTTTTAATACTGTTAGAGGGTGATGATGCATTGCTGGCAAGTAGGACTACTCCTGTAGTAGTAGTTGGAGGTGTCTGCTGATTGTTATTGCTCGATGATGATAGCATATTCTCGAAACGGTTATTTAAAATGATGTCTCTTTGCTGAATCTGTTGCTTATTATGGTGATATGTATCGTTCAAAAATGGAAGTAAAGGACTGTCAGTTGGTGATCTTGTTCCAGATGATATTGGAGACTTTAATAAACTTTTTGTATTTAAATCACCAGCATAGTTAGGAACGGTTGCTTCAGATAACGGCGATTGCCTTGAAGAATCTTTAAATCCTAAAGCATTGAATGGCGATGAAGATTTGGAAGAAATGTGCGCCGTAATGGACTCAATTGTTACTGTACTAGAAGATGTATCAATAGATGGTGATATTATTTCGAACGACTCAAATGTTTTGGCTTCACTAATATTTAGTTTCGTTGCTGCCTTTGATGATGTGTTCATAGCTGAATGTTAATTTGTGCTGACATTGAGTTTTTCAGTTACTTCGAGCTCTCGAGATACACTACTAGAAATAATTAAAACAATGCATAGGTTAACATAACCCCAGTACGGGTGAATACATATGTAGGTAATTTTTTTGTTTAAATGAGTTTTACACTTAATAAAAATGGTTAACTTTTATATCCACTAACACTTCACTTAATTGTTTCTATACATTCAATTTATTCACGCAAATCAAGAAATCAACATGAGGGTTGCATGCTAACAAATATTAAATTCTACCATATCTCTATATTTTTCAAACAAAAAAAAATTAACAGAGCAAGAGAAAGTATGCCGCAAATACAGTTACCATAATCATGTGATTGGTAATGCAAAAACTTTCTACATTTATTTTCTCATGATAAACCCCGGTGTTGTATTAACAGTCTTTTTTTTAATGCGCTACTAAATATCGCGGGTATATCGGTGTTGGACCGACCAGAGTCATCTTTTTGAAGTGCATCCGATCAATGCAGAAAGGAGTTCTACGCGAAAAACTAATGATCTTTCTATAAACCCTGTTCAGTTTGCCACGAAGTTTGTCATACCTAAATGAAAACGTTGGAGACCCTATAAAATCTATATGTAACTGATCAGCAAGAAGAGCTGAGCAGGTTCTACAATACCAATAATAAGTTAATCACCACTTTTAAAGCAACAGCTAGCGCCAAGCTGCTCTTAATTCTCCTGATCCGTGCTGGCTTTGAGGGTTGGACTCAAGGAAAGAATTTCACTGCTGCATATGCGCCAAAAGGCTCCATTCACCAAAACTGCACCTAGGTTAGATGCAACAAATGCATGATTGGAGCCATCTTAAGACCTGTTCAGGCCTTAAGATACATAGGAAGTGGACTACACGTTATGTGGCCCCATGTTGCCAATGCACTTCTGCGACGATGGCCTCACCCCAAGGCACCAGGCTCGCGCTATGACCATCCACTCCAGCCAAGTGTCCAACAAGGATCCTAAACGGTCCCACGAAGCTCAACAAGGCAGCATGAGTCCCCGTCTGATCAATGACCGATGGCAGCATTGACGGCCTTTCAAAAAAATAATCCTGGTCGATCCAAAGCCAGGGTGTTCATAGTTCTCTCGAAAACTATTAGTCTGAGTCTTTATTGCTTTCCTCAAGTAGCTTTGTTGTTGTTACGATTATGCGAACCGCAATCGGTTTAAATAATCGCTACAACAGCATCGAGCTGAGGCGATTTAGCCATGTCCGTCTGTCTCCTTGACCGCCGGTATATACACGAACTTGTCCCTAATTTTTTTGATCGATCTGAAATTTTGTCCACGTCCTTTATCAAATTGGATCAGATACCGGACCACTATAGCATATAGCTGCCATACAAACTGATAATAATAGGGTAAATGTGTAGTTAAGGAATGTAAAAATGAATTTTTACAAAACAAAAAAAAAATACAAAAAATTACACACTTTGCACATGTTCTTTCGCTTGGTAACTTCGGTAAATGTATAGTTTAGGTCCCCCAACTAAGGAGGCCTCAAAAATTAAATTATTTTTTAAATCGTCTTATTTTTAAGCGTAGATTACAAATCCGTGAGCGGAAAGTGAATTTTTTCAATATTTCTATTTTTTTTTAATTTTTCCAAAAAAAAAAAAACACAAAAAAACGTTTTGTTTTCATCGAACTTCTTTCCGCACTAGCGGCCTTTGGCGGCACTCCAAAAAAAAAAATAGATTGATTTATGAACACCCCGGTTTTGGACCGGCCAGGGTTATTTTTTTTTGAATCGCGGCCGAAAGCCGCCAGTGCAGAAAGGAGTTTGACGCGATTGAATTATGAACACCCCAGTTTTGGACCGACCAGGCCTATTTTTTTGAAGCGCGGCCGTAGGCAGCCAGTGCGGAAAGGAGTTCAACCATCTCCGATATTCGTCCATACCATCAAATCGCGGCGCAAAAGAAATTGTGACTGTTACATTTCTTCAGTATAATATCATAAGAAAATGTTTAACACGCTGAACTGGTAATTACAGCTAAGTGATCTGAATTCTACAGAATTTTGCCGCTACAACAACAACAACTAAATGACTTGAATATGTGATATGTGCAAAGTGTGTTAAATAAATTTTGAAAAATATACATAAATTATTGAAAAAATTCACTTTCTGCTGACGGATTTGTAATCTACGCGTCAAAATAAGATGATTTAAAAAGAAATCTCATATTTGAGGCCTCCTTAGTTGGGGGACCTAAACTATACATTTACCGTAACTTCTTTACTTCCTTCGGCCGCGCGAAAATCGATTTTCTATTTTTTTTTGAATTTTTACAAAAAAATATACAAAAAATTACACACTTTGCACATATTATTTCGCGTAGTAGCTTCTTTCTTTCCTTGGGCCGTGCTTCAAAAGAATAACCCTGGTGGGTCCAACACCGGGGTGTCCATAGTTCTTTTGCATTGAATTCCTTTCAGCTCGCAATATAACTATGAAATCTTTTGTATTTGTAAAGGGTATTATACGGCTGGGATTTAGAATAGCACACCGAATTCGGGGATAAAATGTGTGTCTAATATAAATGTTTAAAAACGAATTAGTGAAGTGTTAGTGATATAAAATTTAAAAATACAAGTGTTAAATCCATTATAAAACGAAAAGTCACTTACTTCAAATAGCTGAATTTCTGAACTTTAAATGCAAATATCTCAAAAGCCTTAAGTGAGCGGCAACGATACATACATATCTAAATATTTTTCTTAATCTGGAGAGGAGGTTACTCTATCTGTACATATCCATTTTAACCCCGAATTCGAGAGATGCTATTCTAAACCCCCTCTAAGATGATTTCTGTGAAGTTAACTTTTTGACGTGGATATTTTTTTAAAATAAATTCTGGCACAAAGTCTTATTAAATTAGCTTAAATCAGGTTTACCAGATAATCACATTTAAGTCAGTTTGCGTAAAGTAAAATTTATGATTACATTCATATTCCTCCCGAAACCAAAACTACTCATACACATTACGGAAATGATTGTGTTGCAACGATTCCGATTTTTGCTCACTAAGAAAATACACACTTGCCTTTGAACTCTCACATCACAGAAAATGTTTACAAAAATATTGCTGAAAAAAAATGTTGGTATCGTACACCTAGTAAGTCTAAGTATATGCAAAATACTAAGATACAATTTTAGGTCCTAACAAAGTTTGTTTTCTGCGTTTTTAATTATTATTGTACTATACTGTTACTAACACCAGTTACAAATAATGGTAGATACGACGTATGCACCACTCATAACATTTGAGAAATAATCACCTCTAACTATATGCACATATACGCGTTAATATATATCGAATTCACTCTTTGAGATATAGTTGTTCTTAACAGAGTTGCCGGCGCACCGAAAATAAAATAATAATGTTACTGTGCTTTAACATTGCGACTCTTTTGCCCCTTATTATCGGCAGATTCTCCTTTAGTGTCGCATTGTGCATTCACACGAGCTAAAAGAGTCCAGCAACTTAAATCGAGATTTTCTATCATTCCTTTTCATAAAATTTTCGCAAATATTTGTGCGGTTCAATTGCGCAACATTTAGAGCGTGTTGCATATTTCATTTGTATGTTGGGATTATGGTCTCACATTTGCTTGCAATGAATTACCATGAATATGGTAGAACAATATGCATAATATCTACCCGCTTAAGAAATACTTAACTTACCCGTTTCAAAGAAATACTTAAGTCGTGCATACCCTAATCCACCAGAATGTATTGAATACCCGCTACTAATATTTTCAAGGTCAAATTTATAACCGGAATTTCCTAATCTTTAAGTTTTAACATCCCATAAATTTTTTATTCATATTTTTTTCTATTTATTATAAAACATCCTTGAAATAGTTACAATTCTTGTTTTAAATAAAATGATATTCGAACTAGATTCTTTGCGGTTATGCGTTTTGTTATTAAAAATTAAAATTGAATTTTGAGTATCATAATTTTCTCCTTATTTACAATTTTTTAAAATATTTCTATTATTCTATGCATACATATTTGCATATAACATTCAAAAAATAGATAACAGAATTCAAAAGGGTGGGCTTTAGTTTAGCATCCCACGATTTCAGGGTTAAGAGGGGTATGGTTAGATAGAGGAGATTCTTCAGATCACGAATATATATGATTATTGCCACCGGAAACTTATAGTTTTCGAGATATTTGCATTTTAAGTTGAAAAATTCACAAATTTCATCTTACAATTTCTCGATTTATGGTTATCTTTTCTTTTATATTATAAACTTATTATACACTAACTTTTCATTTCAATGTTTCTACATATTTATTTTATATTAAATATTCAAGTATTTGCTTTAAATAAGCATTTAATTTTTACACAATTTTCGTAATATAAACAATAACAAATGGGTTCCATGTTGACAACTAACAAGTGTTCCCATATCTATTATATATATGTATATATATGTATATAAATGTATATATTTTGAAAGCGAATTAAAATGAACAATAAAAGAGTATTATACCCCAAATACATGAACTATAATTTTGTTCATTCCCTTCTATTGATAAATTATGGTATTGGATTGGCCAGGGTTATTTTTTTGAAGCGCAGCCGAAGGCCGCCAGTGCAAAAAGGAGTTTGACGCGATTGAATTATGAACACCCCGGTGTTGGACCGACCAGGGTTATTTTTTTGAAGCGCGGCTGAAAGCCGCCAGTGCAGAAAGGAGTTTGACGCGATTGAATTATGAACACCCCGGTGTTGGGCCGACCAGGGTTATTTTTTTTAAGGCGCAGTCGAAGGCCGCCAGTGCAGAAAGGAGTTTGACGCGATTGAATTACGAACACCCCGATGTTGGACCGACCAGGGTTATTTTTTGAAGCGCGGCCGAAGCCCGCCAGTGCGGAGAGAAGTTTGACGCGATTGAATTATGAACATCCCGGTGTTGGACCGATCGGGGTTATTTTTTTGAAGCGCAGCCGAAGGCCGCCAGTGAAAATAAGAAATCTTAACAAAAAAAAAGTAATGTTAAGGAGAATATATCACTCTCTATAAACTTCAATTTTTATTAAGGATAATTATAATAACAGTGAAGATTTTGAAAATTTGATATATGAATACATATGGCGTAAAAATATAGTAAATCAGCATCATGATCCATTTGTGAAATTATCAGATGCAATAAAACATACGCTTAAGCCATAAAACCTTTTTCTTATATTAAAATGGAAAATTAAGTTCATAATATTTTGTAGAGGGTGATTTGGTTTTTTATTTATTTTGATTGCTTTCATCCGTTTGATGAAACGTGGAATCCTTTTGTTATTGTTCATATTACGAAAATTGTGTAAAAATAAAATGCTTATTTAAAGCAAATACTTAAATATTTAATATAAAATAAATATGTAGAAACATTGAAGAGAAAAGTTAGTGTATAATAAGTGCATAATATAAAAGAAAAGATAACCATAAATCGAGAAATTGTAAAATGAAATTTGTGAAATTTTCAACTTAAATGCAAATATCTCGAAAACTATAAGTTTGCGGAGGACTATATATATTCGTGATCTGGAGAATCTCCTCTATCCAACCATACCCCTCTTAACCCTGAAATCGTGGGATGCTAAGCTAAAGTTTTTCCATTCAAATTTCTGAAGGAATGGTATAGATTCATTTGAAACCGAGCGCTCCTGAACCATTCAAGGAATTTGAAAGTGAAAAGGAATGCTGAAAAGGGTAGAAGCGAGCTGTTACGAACAAGAACACAAAGCGTGCCACCCGAACACGAGTGGCACGGTCACTTCGTCTCTCCTCGTCGTCCCCTCGCCAACAATAAACCGGTTTGGGTTACAAAAGAGTCTGTATGTAAAGTGCCACTTAGCAAACGTGTTAACTACTTGTTATTGTTCGTGTATAAGTTAAAAATGTGTTGCCTTTCTTCAGCGAGTGGGAAAAAAGTAACCCCCTGCCCACAACTATGGAGGGTAGTCTCCTTTTTGCTACCTCTTCTAAGTGTATTCTAATAGTTTTTTTCGGTTAGCGAGTGAATTGAATTGGGTGGGCTTTAGTTTAGCATCCCACGATTTCAGGGTTAGGAGGAGTATTATTGGATAGAGGAGATTATTCCGATCACGAATATATATAATTATTGCCGCCGGAAACTTATAGTTTTCGTGATATTTGCATTTTAAGTTGAAAATTTCACAAATTTCATTTTACAATTTCTCGATTTATGGTTATCTTTTCTTTTATGTTATGCACTTATTACACACTAACACTTCACTACAATGTTTCTACATATTTATTTTATATTAAATATTTAAGTATTTGCTTTCAATAAGCATTTTATTTTTACACAATTTTCGTAATATGAACAATAACAAATGGGTTCCATGTTGTCAGATAATAAGTGTTGCCATATCCAAACGGATGAAAGCAATCAAAATTTACACGTATGTATGTAAAGAGAACAATAATTTTTACAGAATGCGACAAAGTGCAACGAAATTTTAAATATTTCGTATGAATCTGCGTCTCAAGATCAATTTTCCTTGCGCCGTCACCTCCAATTTCCCCTGGGCAAGCAATTCCAATTTCGTCTAATCAGACAACAGCAATTTCTGTTGCTGAGTCAACAACAGTCATTCCGTCATCAACACCGCGGTTAAGAAAACAAAGAGCGCGTCAAGAAGAGTTTAGTGTGGAGATAAGCGGTTTTGGGAAGAAGATGTGTTCTACTAGAGTAATCCAAATAGAGGTACTTTTTTCAATACCCTTTTTTTTGAAAGATTACGCATGAGTTATCACGAAAAGACTTACACCTGAACAACGTTTACAAATCGTGCATATTTATTACGAAAATTCACGGTCTGTAAAGAATGTGTTTCGCGCGCTTCGCTCAACTTATGGTCATGATAATCGGCTTACTAAGCGTACTATTCGCAACACCATCACCCCTTTTGAGACCCAGCTTTCAATATTGCATAATATTCGACCGAATAGACCATGTCCAGCACGCAGTGAAAAAATTATAGCGGCCGTAGCTGAGAGTGTACACGAAGATCGTGGAGAGTCGATTCGGCCGTTCGCAGCAATTCGGACTGACGTATGTACAGCTTGTACAAGAACTGAATCCGCTCGACCTTACCAAGCGACATCGCGTCGCTCAATGGGCTCTTGAAAAGTTCCAATAAGATTCGACGTTTTCGACCCAAATTTTGTTCACCGATGAGGCCCATATCTCGCTCAATGGGTATATAAACAAGCAAAGTTGCCGCATTTAGGACGAAGAGCAACCTGAGGAGATTCAAGAGTTGCCATCTCATCCAGAAAAAACGGTTTGGTGTGGTTTGTGGGCCGGTGGAATCATCGGTCCATATTTCTTCAAAAATGATTCCAGTGAGAACGTTACCGTGGCGACCGTTATCACGTCATGATAACCTACTATTTGATACCTGAAGTTGAAGTTCGTGTTCTCGGCAACATTTGGTTTCAACCAGACGGCGCCACTTCCTACACATGGCATCAATCAATGGATTTATTGAGAGAACACTTCGGTGAGCAGATAATTTCACGTTTTGGGCCGGTCGATTGGCCACCAAGATCATGAGATATCACACCGATAGATTTTTTCCTGTGGTTCCAAGCCTTGGAGAAAAACATCACGCGTGTCATTCGGCAGTTACTAGTCAAAAAGCTCGAACGAGTCATCGAAAATTGGCCTCAACGGATGGACCATCTGAGTCGTAGTCGCGGCCAACGTTTCACACGTATCGCACATTTTTACCTAAACGGTTTACAATCAGCTGGAAAGTTGGAAATCACTGTACAGGATATAGTGAGGAAAGAGCAAGGTCTGGGATTGTTGCATTAACCTTTGACATTGCTCGGTTATACTTTTAAACATATTGTCAAGCAATTTAAAAATAAACTAGTGTACCCCGTCCACGCATTGCTGTGACTAAAGTATACACACATTAATCATTAACTAATCAATATAGTCAAATTGTATTTATGAATAAAAACGATAACGTTATTTACGGTGTAAGAATCCAAGGAGTTAAATTTGCACATTACTTCCAAATTTGAAAATGATTTAAAAAAATTTTCTTCGGCTTATTATTAAGCACTAATAAATATATGATATAAGATGTTGATTTTTTAGTTTTATATTCCAGCTTGTAACAAATGAGTAATTTTGAAAGTTGCTAGTTGATGTTATTTGACATAATGAAAGAGAGTTCTTTAATTTTTAACAATAATATTTATAGTTATTTATTATAAACATTTTTAAATTCAATTTAGTTCAGCTCTATTCATATCGTAAATTTTC